CAGCCGGATGAAAAGAATTGACTGCGGCTATGAATTGAGTTAGCTCCTCTCTGGTAGAGGAGGTAGCGCCGATACAGTCGTCGATATAGCGACCGTAGAGTTCAGGTTTGGGGCCAAAGTATTGGCTAAAACATTGGTGTTCAACAAAACCTACAAAAAGATTGGCATAGCTGGGTCCCATTTTGGTACCAATGGCTACGCCGTTGGTTTGTTTGAAAAAGTTGTCCCCGAATGAATAACAATTGAGTATGAGCCCTAGTTCAGCTAAGAAAAGTAGCTAGGGTTTCAGATTTAAGTTCCTTAACAGTGCGTTGATCAAAAAAATCTTTGAGGGCCAGAAGACGTTCGTCATTAGGATTGACAGTGTAAAGAGCCTCTCAATTTTGGGTGGTGGCTCATTCGTAAGGCTAAATCATTCTGACTTCGAGCTATGTATTCGAGGAGGATTTTTGTCATGTTTAAGGTACAGGTCTCGGTTAAGATCATCATAGATCATCATAGAGACTCCGGTATCCACAGATTTTGATCTGGATAATTTCAGGTTGACCGGGCCGTTTTCTTCATGGATCACAGCCGGTTTGCTTTTCAACGCTCTTTCAGGATGGACGACTGCAGTTGTTTTCAGAGTTTCACACCGTCCCCGAGGGTCATCAGAGGAGCCCATGGAGCCGGCGCTAAAGAGATGACCTCTGTCTAACTCACCAGCGGCGAGGACAATGGTTCCTGATCTGGCCACGTGGAGAGAAGGTTCTTCAATGATGCAATGCTGCTCAGCTACCGATCCAACTGGATTACATCGTCGGGCAATTATCGCAGCAACTGGTGGTTGGATGGGCTGAGGTTTCTTGAGTCGCAGTATCTCTAAAACAGCATTTTTAAGAACGGCGGTCTCGATAAAAGTAAAGTATAGGGATAACAAAGGAATTCAATTGCACTAGCGTTACCGTTAGACGGAAAGCTGAATTCGACTGAAACGTTTCTGTAAACAGTAGGATCACATATCTTGGCAGTCTTTGATTCCATTTTCCGGTTTGCGGTGAGAGGTGCAATGTTGTTTTTCTTCCTTTTTAGGATGTTGAAATAGGCAATAGTTATCAAACAAACTGTCATGAGAGCATAATTAAAGATGACCCAGTTTCTCACTATCTCAATATCTAACTCGATTGCTGTCAGAATGAAGGCGGGAAGGTCTGTAAACAAGGATAACAGCCAAGCAAATATCGCGAGTTTTATGAGAAGGCTTTCTGTGACGAGAAACTGATATTGAAGGCCTTTCCGTATCGCTACGTTTCTCTCCCATGCAATGATAGTCAAGTGATACAGAGACAATACGGATAGGAAATAAATTACGCTGAGATTCGCCAAGTCTAAATCACAAATATGTTCAACGGACATTTGGTGGAGAACTAATACGTCCACCGTTGCAGATAACGGCATCGATACAACACCAACATGAAGATCTGAAACAGCGAGGCTCCTGAGCAGAATATTCGACAATTTCTGCAGGTCTCTCCGTTTTACAACTGTTACGATTACCAGCAGATTCAATAGAATTGTAACGGAAGAGAGAAACATTAGGCTTGCAACTATGGTCCAAGCCAAGGTATTATCATCTAAGTCCCAAGTGAACATTTTATATTTCGGGCAAAAGAACACTGACCTGTTAGTGGAGAAATCATAGTTTGTATTTGCTCCATCGTTCGGTTCCATTTAAAGGTTTGTTTGATGACTTTTACGCTTATCGTGTCTTTGATGATCGATCGGTGACAAGTTGTCGAGAATTCGCGGCAAGCCTTGTGAAGAATGTCATAAATACAGTAATCTTTCATGACAGAACGGAAACAGCGCGCGCACCTTAATTAAGTAACTCCGTTGAACCTCATAGATTCTTAGATAAGTATTTCGGGAGGTACTTACAGTGTGTGTGGTTTCCATCCTATTATTGTTCACCTGAACATGTTTCTATAAGCTGCCTGTTATCGCCTCATCAGCGAAGAATGATTTTTCTCACACGGATGAGAGCCGGATAGGTTTTTTGTTTAGCATCTGAGACAAATAGTCTGCAACACTACCTTCTAGCGTCTTTGTACAACCTCAAGTTCTTTTCATGATACAAAAATTGCGCTTTACCAGGAGCCACATGCAGTCTTCGATCGTCTATTTTTCTTAAACGGAAGATATATATGTGAAATTTAGTGATTACTTGTCCTAAACATGGCCATTTTTAAGTTTGGTGCTTTCAGTTGATAAAAATAGCTAGACAGTGAACTTATGTCGATAGTTAACAACTATTCACCGAAGTGGAGGAGGCTGGTGGTAGGTTCTTACCGAGCTGCGAAGCGGCGAAGTAAATATCTACCGCTAGTCACCGACAATGAAGTTAATAGTTATTTACCATGAAATAATAACGCACAATGTACTTTTGCGAACCACGAAAGAACAATACAGGCATTTTACGGCGCGAGGTTTTGCACGGAATTCAACGGAAATCAGATTTTGACGGTGTGTTCTCTGTGGTATCCATCAGCTTGGGCGCGCACTAGTTTGCTTTTATGTTTGTTGTATCTTTGCGTGATAATCTATTAGTGACAACGCCCTGAAAATATCAGAGCAACCCTCTTAAAGATTTACTTAAATGCGGCAAAGCTGGGTCAGCTGTGGAAGTTTCTTATTACCAAACTGCAAATGATCCCGTTAAACTCAACACTTATTAAAGCTTTCAATTAAAAAACTTTCCGCTTAAGCTGATCTTTTCTCAGGTCAGGCGTTTATTTGATCCAAAGTGATATCGTGATATTACATACACGTTTATTTTCAGTTAAATATTATCTTATTTTTCCTCTGTTTCTTCATTCTTTAGTTTGTCACACAGCATAAGATTTTTAATGAAGTAGCAATTTGAAAAAAAATCTTAGCCATCCACTCTATTTGTAATTAACGAGATCATTTATTACGGTCCGAGATCATTTGCATGCAGTTTATTTGAGGGATCATTTTTGGTCTCGGGATCACTTGCGGAGCTGCACAAGTCAGTTAATGAGAAAAAGAATCGCCAGTTGTTTTTCCAGTAATTTTGGCATCTCATCTTTTGGAAACTCTTTCAGCAGGTTTTTTCAGGCTCCAGCTTATTATCCGGTTTTCCGGTTAGTAAAAGAACGACTCTTGGCATTCTAATTACAACTTACTGGTTTGAGTGTGAGTCGAACAACACATTAAGAGGTTCTTTGTAATTGAAAATATTTCCAAATCAGAACCTCTTTTTAATTTAAGACCCTCTTTTTAATTTGAGACTGATCAAGATCTATGAAATGATCGCGATTTTACACCGAACGTCTAGAACTGACCAATGGAAACCGCAAAAGAACAGTGTATACTGTACGGGCTGCGAGTTTCGCACGGATGTAAATATCAGATTTGTGAATAGTTTCTCATCCTTTATTTGCTAAGCCGCCTGTTATTGGAACATCTGTTAAGGTTACATTTTCGCTCACTGAAGAGGAAACATGCGTATGTGAACAACAGAAATATTATATTCAATTCAGCTTGGAAGATAATTATTTACCATGTTTACCAAAACAAACTGACTGAGTTCAAAACACTTAGAATTGACTATTTTGGTATGGCATGGTTTTGCACGGAATTCAACGTATATTAGAGCCTTTTTTTCTTTTAAGATACCAAATTAAAAATCTCCCTAAAAATTAATTTTAATTACCCTAGACACAGTTGAAAAAGAGTAAACATGGATTATTTCAATGATTTAAATACACGATACACGATAAGCTAAGTGGCGTAGAAAATTCAAGACGTAGAATAGGGCGTAGAATAGATCAGATTTATGAGAAAATGCTTTAATTATGATCGATTAACAATATCTTGAAAAGGAAAAAAAACGGCAATTTGAAGAAGGTAATTAAAGCGAAATTGTTAAAATGGCCAATCTGAGAATGTCGAAGAGCTAGGAAATTTAGGGAGGTAGTGAGATAAGAAGCACATCTTTGCACAAGAGCTGATGCTAAATTTTTCTCCTCATTAAATTGACTAAATTGTTATTCATCCGTGATATTGTGTCATAAATTGCTTATAATTGTTAGATGCATTTTCTAACACCCGTATGAGCTCCTTTATTTCCTGGTTTTGACTCTTAATACACTTTTTCTTTTTCTTGGGACTAGCTCAGTTTTTTTTTTTTTTTTTAACACAACTCTAAACAATTTGATTTCTTTCTAATCTGTACAACTCAACTATGTTCTATTCTGATTGGAAAATGCTGTAATGATGAAAGTGACACTACTAAGCTGTCAATCTTCTTGCATCGTCATCGTCCTATTTCAACCAGCGAATCACATTAAGTTACCTACGACAGTTCCTACACACTAAGTATGCGCCTTCGAGTTGTTTACGAAGTTACAAAATCATTTCAGTTCTACCTTAAGATTTCATATTTTATGGTTGAGATCGGCCAGAACAGAGACAAGATTGATAATATAAAAATTATAATTAGCCTATTGACAGAATTAGAATTATATTATACTTGAAAAGACATCTTAAGAAAAAAGTAGCTTTAGAAAATTGTTACATAACAACAAAATAAACAGAAAATTCAGAGACGAAGGGGCGTTCACGAGTACCGCCCCCAGAGATGCCACGTGGTCTTATGTAGGTTATCTAATTCAAAATTCAGTGCGGAAAATGAAAAGGCAAAAGCTGTTTACACTCAGGGTCACCTTAAAGAAAGAGATGTTGAAGGTGTTAAATTGAAATTTAAAAAATATTCCTTGATCGTGAATTTGACATAGAATTTGTTCCAAAAAACGAGTCTGAGAATAATCAAAAGTATATGAAGCAGGAAATTCCAGGAATTTCTGTGCGAGGTTAACTTTTACCAGACAGACTTACTCCCTTCCTTAACAAGCAGATTGACATAATTTAAAAACATAGCCCACCGCGAAATATACTACAAGTTCTAACAAGTTCTAATCACCATAGAAACTGAATGCCAAATTCACAACCACGATAAGAAAAAGGTAAAAGAAATTGTACTTAGATGAGACCACCAAAAGGAATAAGAATTAATCAACTGCTCATTATAATTTTTGCGGCGAATGGCTTAAAGTAATACAATATTTCCATTCCTTTTCCCAACACCAATATAAGACAACCCTTACAATATTTCAGATTAAATATAGTTCTATTTTTATTGTTTAACATAACAATTATTTACCGAAGGCGAAGTGAATTTAATCAATATATTGTCAATATAGTCAATAATCAACTGGGCCTCCTGGACGAATTAATAGCCTAGGTGCTTTCGATTTTTTAAATATATAAACATGTTTTCATGTTGAAGCCGTTCAGTTTCAGGTTCTTTGATTACTAGTATCGGGATAAAGAGCCAGTTTCCACTAAAAATTTGATGCGCTCATTCAATTCGATCAACGAAAAACGTCATATCTTTCTTTTGAAAAGTGTTACTCCAACCTTTATAGCATCTTTTGCGGCCTTCGGAATTGAATTTTCTTTGTCGCGTTCATCACTTTCTCGGTAACACCCACAAAGTGCGAGGCAGCCATTTTGAAATTTAGCGTTCGTGCTATCTCCGCGCTTGAGGTGATTAAAGCGAGATATGACGCAATCTTCGGCCAATCAGAGCGCCTGCGTCTTGATAATCACCGGAGCAGTTATACTGCTGGGGAATTCCTGGAGAAATCTACCGAAATACTAAAACGAGGGTTGAGGGGAGGGAACCACCAACGATGGACCAGCTTCCATTCCTTGGGACCGGCCAGTTCGTTAACATCTTAGATGGGTCCACCCCATTGAAAATAAACTAGAGTTTGAATACTAATGCAGCTTGGCTTACTGGACTTCGCTGAAAAAATCTTCAAGAAACAAGATTAAGTTTAAATATATTTTATTAAAAAAATATTCAATTCACGACATCGATCAAATTTGGTGCCAAACTTTATCTAACATGCGGCCTCTACTATCTCCTGATCAACTTCACTGACTTTGAAATGCTTTTTGATAACACGGCTAACACCAAGGAAGAAAAAAAAAACTGCAATAAAGAGGCTCTCGTACTTCTTTTGCTCTTGTAGCTCTAAAATTTTAAATATTACTCTGTACTTCTTTTTCTAGATCAAAAACGTCAAAAGACACCTTGCTCTAAATCTTGTACAACCACGAAATAAATTCGAATTTCAAACCATTTACAACATAAGCTAACATGATGCAAATGGTGGCTTCTCTTCGTGAGAAACAATGAGCTGATTTGACTCCCATAACAAAGCAGAGACACTCTTGAGACGCAAGTGGCAACAGGAAACAGTATGCAACTACTCTTGGCGTGCTTCGACATCAACTGAAAAACTGGAAAGTCGTCGTTATTGCATTTTAAATCAAAGAATGCACACAAAAAGAATCTGGAGTAAGCGCTGGGAAAAGGAAGTCTCAATTTCCACTTGCCTCTCGCATCTCACAAACGTCTGTGCCTAAAATTACCTTAGAAGTAAATTGTCTGCTTTAGCACGAAAACTACACTAATCATCTCTAAATGCGATTTACGATGGGCTCAGTGCTGTAGTGTGGTTCTTTTACAAGGCGCATGTTGAACTGAATGAATACAAAAAAAAGCGCTTTAATGCAGTATACTATCTTGAAAATAACGAACTGAGAGACGTTCATAGGCTTAGCATCGCCTAAGTAGACCAGAAGACGGCAATCGAACGAGTCCACTAATTTCTTCCGGTTCAAAAAGGAAAGGCCTCATTCGTTTAGATTAGAAATGATCACTTCTTGTCACGAGGAACACCTCTGTTGTCTGCATTCTCGCGGTTCTATGGGCGCGCCTAAAGAAAGTTCTGAATTCGATTGAAAGCTGAATTTATAAAAAGGAGTCAAACTGAAACTACGCAAAATTACTAATTCCAATTGTTTGTAAAAGCAGACATCTTTCAGCCTGTTTGCTGCTAGGCCTCGTCGAAGTGAAGTCTTTCCTTTCCCACTGAAAATAAGGAGTGAAAGAGGAATATGAAATTCCTAATAGGAATCTATAAACAAGATACAGTAATGATTCTACAGTAATGATTCTTGATTCTCGACGATTTTTTTTTGGGGGGGGAGGAATCACATGGTTTTGATGGGAAACGGAGGGAAGCTTAGTAGTCGCTGACAAAGTATAAAAGGAGAACTATAGAAAATTGACGCCAATGGGGGAGGGGGCGCGTCATCAAAATACTACAGAGCTTTAGGAAGTGATCAGGTGAATTTCATTGCGACACAACCAAAATCCTTCATCCAATGCAAAGGTTTTTCAAATGAATAATTGTTTTAATTAAAAACGTTAAATAAAGTTATTAAATTTTATTAAATTTTTAGCTCCCTTTTCATTTTAAGCTCACACGTACGCTTGCCATATTTGTAGATCATGGTATATTGGCTGATATACCATAATGGCTAAGCCAATAAAAAGTCTTGACTTGCATTATCCAATGATCTAGTTTTTAATAAAGGCTGATAGTTTCTAAAGAAACTGGTTGGGGCTGCGTCGGTGGGGGGGGGAAACGAAATAATTTGGATATATCAACAAAGTTGAAACGGTAAATTGGCCACCGTAACGATTACAAAAGCTGACGTTTCGAGCGTCAGCCCTTCTTCGGAGCGATTTAAAAAGTAATTTACACTGCTTAGGAGATGAGAACGAAATTTAAACCTAAGCGTCGTAAACAACTTACCCAAAAGCTACTTCGTATCCTGTCTGTGCCTTGATCGTAAACGATGCCTAAAATATGTGACTCATCTCCATTAAAACGAAATAATTACTGATTCATATTTAAGCGGTGGCCTTATGGCTGGTGCGCTCGACTCCGGATCGAGTGGTCCGGGTTTGAGCCCCGGCCGGGACATTGTGTTGTGTTCTTAGGCAAGACACTTTACTCTCACAGTGCCTCTCTTCACCCAGGTGTATAAATGGGTACCGGCAATTTAATGCTGGGGGTAACCCTGCGATGGACTGGCATCCCATCCAGGGGGGAGTAGAAATACTCCTAGTCGCTTCGTACTACAGAAACCGGAGTTAAGCACCGGCCTAATGGGCCACTAGGCTCGTAAACAGACTTTAATTTTTTTTACATATTTAAGCATTTTACATGTTAATTAACCTAAGCAGTTTTCATATCCAGTATTTAAACTCACATGGCACACCTTTGCACTACTTTATCCAAAACCGAAAGATGACCGAGCTGTGAGACTAACCCCAACATACGTGCAATTCTGAAGCCAAAATCTATAAAGATTATTTTTAAAGTCGTATGCAATGTTACATGTGCGACGTATGTGGCTTACGGAATGCTTTGGTGTAGAATTAATTGGCCCTGCACGATATGTTTGCGTGAATAGTAGACAGGAGTGGTTGTCTTATGATTCTCATTTTCATTAATCCCCGGAAACAGGGATCATTACAAGCACTTATTAACTGGGTACCATAGAACCAACACTAAAGTGATCTCGAAAGCCAATCAGAAGAAAGTAAAATATCATAGGAGCCAATGAGAACACGGTGTAGAAAAAAGCGCGGGAAAACACGAGTGACCAAGTCGAGATTTGTTTTGCATTTAATTAATTGAGAGATTTTAAAGAATAATCTGAACCAATCACATTGTGTTGCAAAGAAAAGCCAATTAGAAGAGAAGAAATATTATAGGAGCCAATAAGAACGCGATGTAGGAAAAAGTGACCTGGCTAAAGCGCAATAAAACACGGATGACCAAGTGGAGATTTTTGTTAGTTTTGCTTTTGATTGGCTGAGAGATTATATAGAATTTTCTAAACCAATCACAGAGCGCAGCAAAGAAAAACCAATGCAATCACGAATTGATTTTCACACTCAATTAAACATTTCCTCTAATAGTAGCTGAAGATGGATTAGGGATTAGCATACGAATAAGACCTGTATTCAAGGTCCATTCTCCAAAGCTGATTATCTCTCACTAAAAATCTGGGTTTACCTACCGTCGAATAAACATGCAGACGGCCCATAAAATCCCTCCTGCACCGGCTGCGAATCCGACCACACCAATTATCACATAAAGCACCATGGAGTCTAAAGATAGACACAAAAAATATACTGAGTAGTCAAAGCAATATACAAAAAATAGCCAAATGAAGAGAGGGGGCAAGTTTTTAAAGAAACTGTGGTGTTGCGTCGGTGGGGAGTATTTAACAATTATTCGCCGAAGTGGAGGTGGCTAGTGGTAGATATTTACTGAGCCACGAAGTGACAAGGTAAGTATTCACCTAAAACAGTGAGATATTATAGTATAAAAAGATGATTTTATCTCATTTGTTCCGACAAAGATTACAATAATTTCGAGCGCGAGTTGCTCGCAGGTCAATAGCAAAGGTTATTCGGTTTGAGTAGCCAATCAGAGCGGAGCTTTAAAGCTAGCCATTGTTTTAGTATACACTTGATTGCGAAAAAATCGTTTACCATGACCGATGAGACCCTATGGCTCTCTGGGTACACATCTACATGATAACCATCATTAACAGGTGGTGAAGGATGGAAGCTATCCGCGCTTTCCTGGAAGAAAAGGATTATCCTAACGAAAGTTTTTTATGAATAATGATCTGATCATGTATCCGACGAGCATTTCCCATAAAGCCGTTGGGTCTCATCGTTCATGGATCATGCTTTTTCGGTGTCAACGTTTTTGGAATAGGCCATTTTATAGTTGTGTACTTAGTCGCCAAGCCTTTGATTTGGAGTGAGGCTGAAGGTGACCTTGTCGTGACAGAGACCAGTATCTAGTTAGCATGATAACTAAGTAATTTACATTTGAAAAGCAGCAACGTTTGTATCATAACAAGGACACTATTACCCTCACTCCTGTTCAAAGGCTTGGCAACCAAGCACACAACAGTGAAAAACTTTACAAATCATCCTCTGATACTCTTAAAGGCGAATCTAACACGTCTGTCGCATCCTTGGGTGGAAGATGGCCAAGCTGTTGGTAAAGCACGTCTTTGTTCCTATAGCAATTTAAATTTCTACTCACGTTTCTCCGCTGGTCTTTCAGCAGTGCTCTCCAATATGGTGGAGATCTCAACGTCGCCATTCGTCGAGGACGTATCACTTATTTTACACAAGGATGGTGAATAGCAGGCTACAGAGAAGCAGTTGTTGTCGACCATGTAAGCGACATTACAACCTTGCTGTGCACAGCAGCGATCCATACACATATGCATATCACTGAAGCAAATAACAGAGACAACTAGTAAAGATAACTGTATGGAGGGGAAGTTTGGGGGGAGGTGGGGGCGAGGAGGTCTTCACCAAAAAGCAAATGGGCCTTGAATTGAGCACACTTCGTCATGTCTCGTATAACTGTCGAATATCAAATCGCGAACGTTTTCTCCTTCTCAATCACCCAAGAGTTCGAGCCCCGTTTCTCCATATTGAAATCTTAGTGAGGTACTGTGAGGTACTGTGGAATAAATTCCCCAAGAAAAAACAAAATCCGTTGACTCAGAGTCAGACAAACTAATCTGCAAATTCTAGCCAAGATAAAGTGGTGAATGGTTTTTGCTATGGCAAATAGTGAAGGTTAGAGAGACGCAGAGGACAAATTGACACCGAATCGAACTTAAAGGTCCAGTGCAAAGCATAGCGCGGCTATATTTTACAGTTAGAGCTTCTTAACCTCACAGTGCTTCTCTACTGCCAGGAGTAAATAAATGGGAGCCGGAAAATTTTAAGAAAACTCAAATCAAGTGGCTTGTCCATCTCCGATTATAGACAAACATCTAATAGTCCATTTTACAGTTGTGTGCTTGGTTGCCAAGCCTTTGAACGGGAGTGAGGCTAGAGATGACCTTGTTATGACACAAACCTTGCTGCCTTTCAAATGTAAATCACTTTGTTATCATGCTAACTAGATACAGGTCTCTATCACAACAAGGTCAGCTTTAGCCTCACTCTGAATCAAAGGCTTGGCAACTAAGTACACAACTGTAAAATGGCCTATTAAGGAAGGGAAGCAATGCCCGTTGTCGCTTGATGTTAAAGAAACCGAGATAACCTTTGGAACTTATCAAAAGCTTATCGGCAGCAGTGTTGAGTAGTCTTGTACGTAGATTTAAGAATATCTTTCCACTTGATAGCAAAGTTAAGTTGCAAAAAGAAAAAACCTCAGTCAGTAGAAATATGTGCAAAGAAACCTTTTAGTAGAGAGAAATGAATAAAGTAGGTAAGTTCCCAAAGAACCTGTGGCCCTGTGTCGGTGGGGGAGTATAACAAGATAATTTGGTTTAACCAACTGAGTTTATGAATATAAATTAGCCACCGCAAAGAGTTTCTAAGCTGAAGTTTCGAGCATTAACCCTTTGTGATTCGCTCTGACGAAGGGGTAACGCTCGATGCATCTCGCGCTTTGCTTAGGCGAGGATCTTAGTCTACTTTCGCCTCGAGCCTAAACAGTTGTCATTAGAGAGAGTAACCGGTCAGTAAAAACCCACGTTTCTCATTCACGTACTCAGCGCACCATTTGGAAATGTCGTGAGAAAACTTCTTAATAAACTGTACCTGACAACTCCCTCAAAACTGAACTTTCCCGCCTCTAACCCTCCAACTAAAGTCTTATTGCTGAATATCTCCGATTGCGACTTTTGGTCTGCCCGACATGTCGGCGTCTGGTCGTTAGCGGAGAACATTGTCCCTAAAAGGAGAAAGGGTGTTCGTTTTAGGAAGTCATATTATAACATAACCAAAGTAAAGCGCATGCTCTGATTGGTCATTATAACATAACCAAAGTAAAGCGCGCGCTCTGATTGGTCAATTTAGCGTCCCCCATTTGCCCATGGGTGTACGCTGCTGACGTGAGCAAATGCAAAGACTATTTTTCCGCGCGCGCTTGTTTTTTCTGGTCGCGTAAGATTTGTTAAATAAAAGGGAACTCTTTAGCTACAATGTATCAATGTTATGTTATAAAACAAATGGTAAACACCACAGCGTACACTATTGAGTTATGGATGCACTTGGGAGGTTTGCTAAGCACTCAAGAAGCTAGAGTCGCTCTCGGCTATCGCCTCGAGCGACTCTTAAGCTTCTTTCGTGCTTAGCAACCTCACGCGTGCATCCATAACTCAATAGTGTACGCTGTGGTGTTTACCATTTGTTAAAAACATGATATGTGTGTCGTTTTCAGAAGCACACGTCATCACATGGGATTCTTGCCAGTCGAAAGGTGCTCTAAAACGTTCTACGAGTAAAACAAACCTTTGTCTTTATCGTCATAGAATCCCCTTGAAACATAAGACACTTTTGGTTCAAGATGAGAAGGTTTAGCCAACACAGCTTGACAGAGCTTTTCGCTTTGACACTCTACAGAGTAACAGTGATCCCCGAACATGAAAGCGAGGTCACATGACGTGTCGTCACAACATTTGCCGATACATTCTCGCATCGACAGCACTCCAGGCCTCTCGGTGAAATTGCCTGAAATAAAAGTGACGAATGTGTGACAAGTCGATCCCAACAATTTATCTGTGGTTAAAACATTCTCAGAAAGTACAACTTAAAAACAATGAGGAATTACCTGCGTCAATCCCACCGCGTAACGTAACGTTGTACGTGATAGTGCTGTCACGGCACTTGTCTTGAGCTATGTTGTCGTTCGTTGTTGCTACAGATGTCGAAAGAAATCAATGATTTAATTGTTTTCTAACAAAAGAATAGGAAATATTGAATGACAGACATTGTATCTCAATCGAAGGCTTTCAAATAGCACCTATTTCTATTGAAAACGATTCTACCAACATTTTAAAGGAACAGTCATCACTTATCAACAATATTTACTACAGATAACTGAGATTTAACACCAACTTCTTGATAAATTGTGACCCTCTACAGGAAAACGTGCGCTGAGGTGAGCGCACGGGCACGTGAGTCATGACACGGCAAGCTAAGCCTTATCGTGTGTGTCACATATTTGCAGGTAAGTGTATCTTTAACAAAAAAAAAAAAAACAAATGGTAAAAGCCGAACCATTAGCTAGTATCTTGGCGGCTAGCTCTCTGCATAAATTGCTGAATCGTAATAACTTGTACGAACTTGAAATATTCGAAGGAACTTACCAAGAGAGCTCACACCAAACTGCGAGTTCTTTTGGAGAAACGAAATGGCAGGATTCAAGTTAAGTCGAGAAATACTTGAACCGAAGATAGGGACAGTCTTACAAAGATCAGCGCTGTAACAGTGCACGGCATAACACATGCTGCCTAACATGAAAGCAACGTCGCTACGTGGCTCTTTACAGCTCATCTCTATGCAGTCATCCATGGAGTCTACCCGACCAACTTTTTGAAAGACTCCAGAGTGGAGTCCCATTTTAAGGGTGACGTTGTACTCGATTGGTGTGGCGTCGCACGAGTGCGCCACTTTAACAATTGGGTTAGCTGTGGAATCAGCTGAAATTATGGACAAAAGAAAGAGAGAAAATTAGGGATTGCTTGTTATCCATCGCCTAGAAGGAGGGGGGGAAGGGGAATTGGAGGATTTTGGTTGTCACCAGACGGAAGTAAATTTTCTATTGTCCCCCCTTTTTAACCCCCTCCGTTCCCCCTGAAAAGCATGAGATTCTCCCTCCTCACCCTAGTGTCATTTTTGTTATCACAGTTATTATGCGCATTTATAAGAGTGCCATACTTGCTTCTCTTTCCATATTCCAATATAAACAATGTTATAGTGACGAGGCCAGATCAGGCAGAATCAGCTGTCCGTAAGTAACAACCTGATGGTTTTGGCTTTTTTTTTTTATCATTTTGTGCAAGTTAAGACCACGTTCACCGCTATTGCGTTAAAGTGCATTTCTTGGCTGCGAAACACAACTTTAAACATCGTCCTGGAAGCTAAATTAAAATTTCTTCCTTTAAGAAAAGAGCATGTGTTAAAAAAAAAATACGAAAGGTCATAGAGGAGAGCTGTTTCACACCCGAAATAATCCTAAACTTGAATTTGTTGTCAGAGTGAAAAGCCACTACAACTAATAATCAGTACCTTGGTGAACTTCTGAAATTGTTGATAGAGTGGGAGAAGGAGAAGTGGCGGGCGTTGGGGACGAAGATTGTGACACTGATGATGTCAGCGGAGTTGCAGTGAGAGGTGTTGATGTCATGTCAGTAAAAATACCTTTGACGTTGTAATTTCCTGTGAAAAGCAAGTAGTTTTATCGATATCAATCTCAGTTTTTCAGGACCTGCCAAAGGTAAGCATAATTAGTAGACTTCACCGCTTAGGAAAAAGAGAAAAATAGTCGACTGTACTCGAGCCAAGAGGCCTTTCAAGCAGGAGCTCACGTCGGTTTCCATAACATGAAGCGACTAAAAATATCGTCACTACTTCTCCCCTGAATGGGATGCAAGTCCATAGTAAGGTTACCCCCCTCCTCCCCCCCAGTATTTCGTCAAGGCCTCCGGACAATTCATCGGTACTAATTTTTGCTCCTGGGTGGAAAGAGACACTGTGAAAGTAAAGTGTTTTCTTCAAGAAAAAAACACGATGACCAGGCCATGTGTCTTTCTCGGCCCGGAACCCAGCGCACTAACCTGTTAGCCATTGGTTCTCCCATTAATGCTTAGGAAACCTTCTTGGCCATTTTATGGCTCAAGGTATCTAGTCTCTCGGGAGTAAGACAGTGACTACATGTATCTCTGGTGATGTGAGAGAAGCGAAGGTCTGAATGTAGGTGACGTCGTACCCCTTGCACGGTCGCCCCAAGTTCCGTTTCCCAAATTGAAGTTCCGTTGCTCCGAAGTACGGTCGCATCGCCCACAATTTGACGTTGCATCACCCTCAACTTTTGATCTAAATTCGATTAAGGTTTGAAACGTCTTTCGACACAAGTTTTAAAGCTTGGGGGTTCGATGTTCCGAGTATCCAAATCTTGAACCAGCGATTGCAATGTTGCGACTGCTTAGTAACCAGGCAAAATATCTCGAACCAAACTCTGGGGGCAACCGTGCAAGGGGGCAACGTCACCTGCTACAGTTCTATTCCTTCCAGAGGACTCAGATTTTTTCTTTGTCTTATGCTTGTGCAAATCCTTAACGATGTCATTTCTTACCCTGAGGTTTCTTCCTTATGGCAATGCGAGGAAGATAATGGGTAGGCCGTGCCTTTCTTGGCTCACAAGCCCCATTGCTGTTACATGACACTGAGTAACAATCGTCCTCAATCATAAATGCCAGATCACAGGAGTCTCGCTTGCAACAGAACTGCATGCATATGTCCATGTTTGTGGTTTTCCCATTATCACTGAATGTTCCAGCATTGATACCCCCAACCAAAGTGTAATTGTACAAAATTTCACCGTCCCAGCACACGCTTTTCGGTTGGGGTGACGCTGTGGAAGAGAAAAAGAAAAAATCGGTTTAGTTTACGTGTGATTGGTTGCCCTGGGGTTTTCTTGAAGATAAAGCAGTGGACAGTTAGTCATGGTGGAAATACCTTGTGAAGTATGAGAGTTCTGTCTGTGCGTTAAATGTAATCTTGCATAGTCAGCAAATCTGTCTAAGTCTGCGTTACTAAGTGACTTAAGGGCGTCGTTAACGTTCTCATAGTCATCTGGACGTCCTTTGTTGTCTTCATCTTTCCACTTCCTACTGTGTTTGTTTCTATTGACAATTTCATGAAGAAACTTGTGGAGAAGCACCTTCAAAACTTTGTCAACAGTCGTATGATGCGTATTTGAAAGCTCGTGAATAAAAGAATCCGTGTCCTTCGTGAACACACCCAGAATACTCCGCGGGGGTGTTATCTGAGTTGTTTTAACAGAGTCTACTTCTTTAGCTGGTGTCGCAGTAGCAGTTGTCGTAGATGAGCCCCTTTCGGACTGATCTTCAACATGAAAGACTGGCAGAGCATACATGCCCATTTGTCCTCCTTTCATATTCGCTACGAGTGTTTCAAACCGCATTTGAGGCGTCGTTGGCGTAAACATATCGGTGGAAAAATTTTCGTCTATTTTTTTACTCATCGAGTGATTATCACCAGTGTCATCGCTTACGTCATTGTTTATGTCAGTATTTACGTCTGTTTCCACAAAGAAGTCAGTGCCATCGACGTGTTTCTTACTCACAGGTATAAAGTTTACTGCAGTCTGTTTTTGTGGCTTCTTTCCGTACAAGAGGCCCTTGATGATTTTCAGGACAGCCTTAAGTTTTGGCTGGTTTAACACTGTGGAATAAGGTTCGAGGCAAATATACGTTTTAAAGTATGTGTTAAAACACATAAACTGAGGGAGGGGTGGCTGTATTGAGCTACGCTATCTGATACTTTAAGGAACGTTTGGAACAAAACAAAAACGACTTTAAGTTTAGTCCGTTAGCTAAGTGACTTATTGCTGCCAGAACCTTTCCCGGTTTTCCATTTTATTTGACGATGGTGTGTAAAACCCACCCAGCGTTTTATGAAGTTCTCCTACAAATTGCTGGCAAAAACAAAAATTATAGTAAGCTTAAAGGGTGAAAGTTTCTGAAGAAAGTGCGGTGCTGCGTCAGTGGGGGTAACAAGGCAATTTGGTTACATCAACCAAGTTGAAATTGTGAGTTGGCCACCGTAAAAAGTTAAACAGCTGACGTTTCGAGCGTTAGCCCTTCGTCAGAGCGAATGGAGGAGTTGTGGGTCGTGTCTGGGTTTATATGCAGAAAGTGGAACTACGCTATTGGTGGAAACATGGTGACGAACGTTAAAACACCTAAACGGAGGGAGGGTTGGTGCATAGAGCCGCTTCAACGAACGCTTTTCATTCTACTAATTTATTCGTGTTTTTCTCGTCACCATGTTCCCACCAATAGCGTAGCTCTACTTTCTGCATATAAACACACACACACGACCCACAGTTCTTCCATTCGCTCTGACGAAGGGATAACTCTCGAAACGTCAGCTTTTTAACTCTTTACGGTGGTCGATTAACAATTTCAACTTAGTTGATATAACCAAATTATAGTAAGCTTAGTTACATGCATTTTGATTGGTTCTTACTGATGATTTATTGCAGGACAGACACAAAGAGACGTCACTATTATAACATTTTGTTTCCTCATTATATAAAACAAATGGATTTCATGTCAACGTGGATCTGTTCAGTAACAGACCACATAAGACGTCAAAAATGTGGTAAAAACATCAGTGACACACTCAGCTGTGCCTCAAGGGTCCACTTTTTTGCATTGTGGGCGCCGAAAGACTTGATCACCTGAGTATCAGTATCAAGGGTGCTAACGTGAACAAATAAGACAGTGTTTCTTTAGCGGCACTGATACAGTCTATATCACACTTTCCGACAAGAAGGGTCAGTGCCGGATTGTGATCTTTAGGATGTTGAAACGGGGCATAATCCCCCTCGAGATTACCTCAACCATCATCGAACAGACCTTAGACAACATAGAACCTATTTTTATTCATATACTCTTGGGTGGAGTAAGTCTCAGTGAGAGTAAAGTATTTCGCTCGAAACTCAACTCTGTCAGCTGAGCTCTTGACTGAAACTCGCTTAACGTGCTGCTGAGAACCCAAAGAGTGACATCTCTATTTTCTTAAGTTAATAATTTGTGGGTGTAACTACGAAATACAAACTCGAACGGGAACAATCCACAAACTTACCGTTATCTTTCTTTTTGTCGTGATACACATAAACTATTCGCGGGTTGTACCTTGCGGGATTTCTTGCGGGACGTGACTCGCACAGTGATTCATTCAAGCAGCTCACACCGTAGCATTCGTTTTCGAGCATGAACGCCACATCGCATGCGTTTTTCATGCAGCACCGCTGTGTGCAAATACTCATATTGTCAGCGTTACCGAGATCAGTAAACTTTCCCGCGTTTATCCCACCAACCAGTGTGACGTCATTGTGAGCTGCACTTGCGCGGCATTGGGAAACCTCTGAAGGTTTGGATTTGTTTGCTTCAAAACAAAAACAAAAGGAAATTCAACGCATGCGTGGTTGAGCACGTACACAGACAAAGAGAAGAGGTCCATCTGAGACTGACTCGTCCAGTTGCCAGAACTGCTTCCCGGTTTTAGACAGATAAAAGTATCATGAAGTATTGTTACATGTACTCTCAATTAATAGCTGTGGCGAACTCACTGGGAGGGACAGGGGTTTTTTTACCCCATCCCTATCACCCACTGGGAGGGACAGGGGGGTTTTGACCCCATCCCTATCAGACCTGACGGATTTTTTCTACTTGTCTGATAAAAGGATTCTTGTTTTGCGAGACGGGTATGGATTGACCCAGTAATTTGCCTTGAAGAAACATTTCGTATTTTTTGAACCACAGTTTGGCCTTATTCTACCTCCTCCCTCCCCTCCCCCCCCCATGATAAACTCCCGGGCTCGGTTACAACTGACCGCATACATAATAACTTACAAGGTCAGTATCAATCGCTTGCATTTGAAGTGTGACAGTTCTTTCGCAAATTTTCAAATTACAAAAACTCAATCCGGTGGCAATACAAGATTTTGTTTTCACCTGAGACAATCTCCTTCGTGTGCTTCACAAACGCTATCTGTGGCTTGTAAAAGGGCGAAAACGCAGGTTTTGTAAGGCACAGAGCATCACTATAACACGCTACGGCGAAGCATTGTTTCCCTAGCATAAACGCAAGACTACAAGTTTCCATTCTTCCACAAGCGCGCACGCATTCGGACATGTTCCCGACTTTCCCTTTGTCGCTAAACTTTCCTGTTTTGATACCATACTTCAGTGTTACGTTGTACAGAATTTCACCCGCTGTATAGGTGTTCTTGTGTGGCAAGCCGTTTTGAAGAGTAAGGTAGTTTTCTTGGATTTCAGGTGTTGGCGACGGCCAAGTGGTGGGTGATCTTTGTGTTCCACTGAACGTGGTTGGGGTGAAGTCGCTGGATGACGTGCTTGACGAGATTCCTGTGGTCGCAGTGCTGGAGGTTGAGCTGCCCGTGGCACTAGAAGGGGATGTGAAGTTGTTTGTGCTTTCTGTTGGCTCCACTTCTAAGTTATCTGTAATACAGGTAACTTGATTTATTATAACAACTTCGTATGGACAAGAAAGCTAATCGTATTCATCGGAAAAGTGAAAAAATTCTCACTGTTGATTAAGTTAACAATCATTCTGTTAGTTGTTTTTTTAAGCTTTTGCATTCTGGTCTCAAAAACCATTTTTTTTTGTCATCTTGGAAAGTAGGTATGAGTTAGATCATGCAACTGGTCTTCGAGTTAGAAGTTTCTTCGTAGTGAGTGAACAAACTCCTTGGTTGACAAACTGAAATTCAATGTCAACAGATCAAAATTCTGTGTGAAGATGATAATGAAACAAAAGATAGGCCAAGACTTTGAACCCTGTGGAAAGTCACTAAGATGGCTAACAAAGTAGCCGTTGTCGTTTTGTTGCCCCGAGAAAGTCGCCTATGGGAAATACGTTTGAGCTGATTTGTCTCACCTATTAGTCTATAAACGCTATTGGCGTAAGTTCCACCCAGTCCATCGCGGCATCTCCTTGATATTCCGTACGTTTTATAGTCAATTTCAGCACGGGGTCCACCAAAGCACATTCCTCCTCGCTGAAGGGCGAACACCGGGTAGCCTCGCTTTCGCGCCACCTCTCCACACTTGCGCAGTGGATCCAAGCGTGATTTGTAAAAATCGTCTAATTTTTTATCTGAGTGCTCCATTACAGGTATGGCATGAACACCAGAGTCGTTCCAGCAACCAAGTGAGATGTATCCTAAAATTTAAATCGAATCGAGGGAGCATGTCTAACTGACTTCAAATCTCTGCGCGTACATTACAGCAATCTATCTCTTTGATTTCACATACTCACCAAAATCTGTCAGTCGGTAGACGTCATTGGCGAACAAACCTCCCTTTCCCGCCTTACAAGATGACGACTCGCCAAACTGGTTAAACATTCTCCCCGCTGTCGGTCCGCTCAGGCAGGCTCCGCCATTCTGGATGGCAAAAACTGAGACACACAAAAAAAAATTATTGGTTACAACTTAAAACAACTTTCTTTACATTAAATAAGTTGGTGTACAATTATACGAGTTAATTTCCATACAGAATCAAACCAATTTAAGAAAGCTGCTGACTTTGATTACCGGCCGATGATAAGGCGGATTCATGCTGACGTCATTGTTTACATTTTTGCTCATTTGCATACGGCTTTGCGTAAAGAAGGAAGCATGTTAGATACAAATTGACTTTAGGCAGCTAAAGAGCTAGAGAACCTTAGTACATGGTGAAATTTTTAGCTCTTTGGGTGTAATATTCAAGGAGAAATAGTCCATCAAATACTGCAAAATTTTTGGGTGGCAAAAGCGCTAATGAGCTCATACATTCTATGTAAAATTTTGAGTTTTTAAACCCGTGTTGCACAAAAAGTATTCAATGCATCAGGCTCGTATTCATTGGCCGAATTAATCGTACTTTGACCTTTCGATATTCAGAACTGATTTATTTTTAGCTCCATCAGAAACTGAATTGCTTATGCTAATGAGGCAAATATTGTAAACAAGGATTCCCCTATAGAGGACGCTGAGAATTTGATTAAGATGTGTACGGTGCATTGTGACCGACATCAATTTTAAGTAATGTTTTAAATTTTAAGTAAATTTTCAGACACGGCCTCCTCCATGAAAAGCAGTTTTTATTTGTGAAACATTTTCTTTTGTTGTTGTTGTAGTTAGGGAGATAGTCGAGTACCTTAACTGACCTATGAAAATACCGTGTATAAATAAAGTTATCGCATCGTATGATATCGTATCAAACTTAAGGGGCATTAAATCCAGAGCATTTCTGCAGACGCCGAGAGCTATAAGTAGGTTTAAAGCACACCCGCGTATTGAAAGTTATTTCCTCTCCTGTGCAATTACTGTCACGTTTACTCAATACTTGACATGATATGCGCATGCTATAAAGTAGTAACAATACTGACATAATTCCTACACTCCTTTAAATACCCTGGTCCTCCTCTACTCCATCCCGTGGAGCTAAACGGTAACAGCTTACCTCTGAAGTCATGCTTCCTTGCTACTTGTGCGCATGTGTCAATAGGCTTCTTTCGCGTGAGATAGGGCTCTGTTAGTAGAGGATCTGCGCCTTCCAAAGGGGTAACTGCAAACGTTTCCGTGTCTTTCCAGCAGCCTAAGGACGCATACCACCTGTGGGCTATAAAACACAAAATAGGATTTGGAAGTTCAGTAGAGCTGTTCTCAAAAGAAACTCAGTTCTGCATTGGTTTTGCTTCATTCTGCACGCGGCAGTTGCTTGAGAAAACTGGCCCTTCCCTCTCAACCAATAAGACACTTAAAGTAACCGCGATCCGGTCACTTTTGTTTCTCGTGCTTCAAACATTTTCGCGGATGGAGTTACTTTGGTTTTAATTTTTTACCTTAATCGATCGAAATGCACCTCGATACTAACAATAGGCATAACATGCAAAAGCATTAAATAAGTAAATAAATAAATATTGTAAGAAATAGACAACTTTTTTTGAGAGACATGTTTCGGCATACTTATGCCATCTTCAATCAATGAGTAACAGAACGTGAATAATTATATAACAGACAAGTAGATGAATAAAATATTTACAGTATGATGTAATACGAAAGCGGGTACTAATTACAACGTGACATTTAGGTCCGATTTACAAATTTAGGTCCGATTTGTAAACCGGACCTAGTCAAACTAGTTTTCACTTCTTTTAAAATTAAAAACATGTTCAGTGTCAAAGATCGTACTCCTGATGCTCTAAAATCCATGGTAGTTTATCAATTTTCTTGTGCCGGATGTAATTCCCGTTATATTGGCGAAACTAGTCGCCACTTCTCTACCAGGATAAAGGAGCACACGAAAAGCGACAAAAACTCGCATATTTTTCAGCATTTCAACACATCTCCTTGCTTTAGTATTCTGGATTCTACTAACAACTCAATTGATTTAAAACTCAAAGCTTTTTATATAAATAAGATCAAACCTGAACTTAACAAACAATTACAGCATTATAACACTTTTCTAACGTTTTAGTTCACACCTTTGATGTTTGGTGTCACGTTGTAATTAGTACCCGCTTTCGTATTACATCATACTATAAATATTTTATTCATCTACTTGTCTGTTATATAATTACTCACGTACTGTTACTCATTGATTGAAGATGGCATAAACATGCCGAGACATGTCTCTCAAAAAAGTTGTCTATTTCTTACAATATTTCTAATACTTGCTACTGCTACGACCTTAAATAAATAAATAAATAAATAAATAAATAAACAAAAAAAAGTGACTCGATGGATTTAACAACTAAAGGTAATACCTGGGATTTCGTCGTCGGGCGGACTCCAGTTCACATAAGCCAGTCTTGGGTGATAATACTCAGAAAGAGCTGGTTTTATTTGGCAAGACTCATAGTCTTTACACGATACTAAGAAACAGTTGTCTCGGATTAGAAAAGCCACGTTGCATTGTGCGTCTGCGCAGCAATAAGCTGAACATTCGTTCATGTGCTTGACCACGCCCTTGTCAGTAAAGTTTCCTGACTTGATTCCCCCGCGAAGTGTCGCGTTAAATATGGTGTTACTGACGGTCAACTTATCGCACGCGTCTGGGCTTGGCTTTTCAGCACCCGGTAAAGGATCTAGGAATAAAGACAAAGAAATAACATGTAGTGAAATAGAAAAAAAGCTTACCATATTTTTCACCCTCTAGTACTGATCGTTTTCTCTAAAGATAGAGTCAAGGTTTCGCACTCTCACTCCTTACAGCAAGGTGAACTGGTTGGCTAGAATACGACGAATACTTCATTCGTATCTGATTGCGTTCGTCCCAGTTGAGTTTGCGTTGATCGATATAGGAGCCTCGAGTGGAGAGAGGAAAGGTAAGCGTCTTGTCGCAGGCTTGTGGCATGCATTTAGAGAAGTTCGCACATACGTTAGCGATGGCGGAAAATATCAAATGTGTCTGATGTTAAAAATAATTTGGATATATCAACAAAGTTGAAATGTATATGCACGATCCTTCGCAGTAAAGCACTATTTAAGCAATAGTGAAAATCAGACCTGAAAAAAATTCAGGCCTGTACGGGATTCGAACCACTGACCTCTGCGATACTAGTGCAGCGCTCTACCAATTGAGCTAACAAGCCAACTGGGAGCAGGCCATCAAATTAATTCGACATAAACCCGTAGATGATAAATCAAACAACAAACATATGAAATACATATATATGAACTGCGGTTATGAAACGTATATGTGCACGATCCTTCGCAGTAAAGCACTATTTAAGCAATAGTGAAAATCAGACCTGAAAAAAATTCAGGCCTGTACGGGATTCGAACCACTGACCTCTGCGATACTAGTGCAGCGCTCTACCAATTGAGCTAACAAGCCAACTGGGAGCAGGCCATTAAATTAATTCGACATAAACCCGTAGATGATAAATCAAACAACAA